ATTCAGCGAGGTGCGCCTTCCAACTCAGCAGAGTGAGGATCACTCCCTAGGGGTCCTGGTTGCAGGAGAAAAAAATATTTGAAGGATTTTGGCATTAAAAAATGTAATGATTACTTATGTAGACCCCTAAACGGTTAATGAGAACTGGAACGGTCCATACTGCAGGTTTTTGTGCACCTCAAAATATGAATAAAGGCGACGTGTAATCGAGTACCGGAACAGGTTTATAAAGTCCTGCACGAGTTCGGACGCCCAGAATAATAAAAAACTGTGCCGGTCCTCCACCAGCCTTCGCCTGTATTTATGCAAATACCTGGAATGCGAGCCTTCACATACACTCGTGGTTGATTTATGATTAGGGTTACATTTACCGTTAAATTCAAGGTTAGGGTTAAGCTTGGCGTTCAACTTAGAAAGGATTATATTAAGTTTAGGTTCAGTGTCAACTGCAGTCTTGAGGTTTAGGTAAGATTTAGGGTTAAGATTATAAGCACGGATAAAGGTTATGGTAAAGTTAATTTTAGGAGTAAGGCTAAGGATTATTAATCCCACTGACTCGAGTGGGGCGCTCCTATTCCCATTTCCTACTAAGATGGTCACATTAGTAATCCATACATTTTGAACTGCCTGAAAGAATGAAAAATTATGAGGTTGAATTTTTAGTCCTTTCCATAAATTGCAATAGCAAACTGTGAATGGTCCAATGGTTAAAAATTTGTACTACGTACTCGAAAAGGCATTTAAAGTAATAATTCGACCTTACTCCACGAAAATGCGTAAATCTTCCTATACTAGTGCATGTTTAATCCGTAAATCCTTGGATTTGGAGCTGATTAACTATTCATTAGACCATCCTTCACACATACACTTTGATCGTTTTAAGATGCCGTCGTTTTAGTGACTCATCTATCTAGCTTTCGAATGGGTTTGAAAAGTCTCCTGCTTTAAACAGAAATGATCCGCAGAGAAGCACCGTAATTTTCCACGTCGGCATGCCATACATGCGCCTTTCTGATGTTTCTGCTTGTAGTACATATCGTCCTTCGCCTTCAACCCACATAAATGGCTTCTGATGAACTTTGACCTCTCCATTGTCTGGTGAGTCCAGCCCTTTGACTCTATTTTTGTCAATCTTTTTTTGTATCAGGCGTCCTAGAGAAGCTTAAGTACATTCTCAAAGCCCTCTTAGACGAAGCGACATTTTGTTTTTCTGGACATGAATGGGAGGGATAGCGGAGTTAGTCTCAGAGGTCTCAGTTAGGCATAAATAAACCACGCAGGGTGCAGATACAGTTATCTACCCTCAGAGGTGAAGCATGACTTTTCAAAGCCATTGATGTCATTTTTATGAGGATGAAATTCTCACAGATGGTTGTCATTTGAAAAACCATTTTTTTTATTTACCACGAAATGCACTAAAAGAGGGCTGTTTTGGAATGACAAGTAAGTGGTAAGTGATATATCGAAGAAGTCTCATGAAGAGGCTTATTAGTCTTTGGCAACAAACAGAAAAAAGCAGAAAGTTTGTTAGATAGCAAATTTCCGAGGACTTTGATAAACCAGCTCTGCAAGTTACCGGAGAGCGAACCACTGGGAAAACTGCTTCTTTTACCAGTCGTGGAGTTCTTGAACAAAACTCCTGACAAAAACTTGAATATCATCTGGTACGCTCAAACGGCTCTCGATACGTGCGTAACGTTTGTGTCAGTAAGCATCCGTCTTAATGTGTCATCTGATTGTCTCTTGCAGCAGATGGTATCACCTCTCTATTGACAACTGATGTTCGTAAATATATGTGGTATTGTGTGGTATTGTAGACGGCTACCTTCTTGTCTATAAAGCTATGATAAGAAGGATTTACAAGCATTGTGCATAAAATAGTCATCAGTTTGCGCACGACTGCAACTGGGAGCTTCCTTGGGTATCTTTTGACGAGTTCACACACACGATTA